TAATCTAAAAATCAAGTTTTCTAAACTTGGTCAAATTTTGTGTTCTTCAATACATAGATGCAGCCTAATCGACATTACGCAAAGAATTTAACTATAACCGGTGCTAGTGGCTTTCTTGAACTTGAAGTTAGGAGGGAGTTTATGCTTACTATTGAAGGCCTCACTGTCACTTTAAGATGACGAACAGCAATAGAGCCTGTGCTTTTGAATTTTTTTCATGTGTGTAGATTTTGTGTCATGATTTGTAACACAACACCTTTCTTTTTTCTATCTTATATCTTTTAAGAGCGAGCATTTGAAGCTGTATGAAGATGTTTTCTATCATATGTTCAGATATACCAGGCTCTTTTCCATAATCACTTTTTTACATGTTTGAGCTTTTGAGGTTGGCTGGAATTGCTTTGTATCTGCATATTTTTTCAGTAACACCTGAATCTATTTTGAATATGACATAGTTATATAACTTACTGGGATTTAGAAAACTGTTTGGTGTAGTCTTGAATCTGTACATAAGCACATTCAACAATTTAGTTCTATTTTTGTATGAAATCAATTTAGGTATGCTTTGTATGAAAGCATTTCAGACCATTGGACAGATTTGTATCTTAATATTTGAGTATAAAAACAAATATTAAAATAACTATTATTTGAAGCTGATTAGATTATAGCTTTGTATTTGACATCTCATCACTTTTTGTGTGAAAAATGGAAATGAGTACCATATGTCAATGAGTCAGCAACCCACCAATAATAAAAACCAAAATAAACAGCATAAGATCTTTTAAACAGTTGTCAGATAGTTTTCAGATAACATGGAAGTAAAAGTTCATTTCCAAAGATACAACATTAGGCTCAATTTTATTTGCCTTAATTTATTCAAAAGTAAAACAAATTTGTTGGTTTGTTGATTTATTACAAGATGGTATCTGTTAAAACATTGAGATAGACATATTATTATATTTACTATGCATATTTAGAGGAAATGTATGCACTGTGTTTTGAACTTTTAGTTTTATTTACTAGTAATGTTAATGTCTCATAAATTTAAAATCTGATAAAATGACTCAAAATTGTTCTTCTTGGGGAATTATTTTTAAAATTTAATACCAGAAATTTAAATTTTATCTAGATATCATATAATTATTCTCATTTGCATGTAATCTGAAAATACCTTGCTAACAATGCATCTACATAAAACATCCCAAATAATCGATTCATATCATATATCAAAATATGAAATTTTTTAACTTTGAATGAAAAAAGTTGTTTCTATCTATTTTTAGAACAAGGTTATTTGAAATAGGTATTTTTCATATAAGTGATGTAGATTATCTTTTCAGGGTTCCTGAAGTAATTCAGTTCATTAACTTTTATAGATACCTTATTGTTTCAATATAAAATGATTTTATCATGTGCTCTATGATAGTATGATTGGCAATACTTTTTTCATGATACTTTCCCTAAACATGGCTAAAATTACAAGGTCAAGACAGTGTTTAAAACTAACCTGTCCTGAAAATGGTTTTCATGATCTGTCTGTCTCAGTCCTGGAGTCTGTTGTCTATTTTTGTCACTGTTTTTCTGTTATATTTGTTTTTGTTTACATTTAAGTACTGCTTTTAGTTGTCTATTTTGATTTTAATAACATTTTGTGTTTTCCAAGTAAATAACTTTTTAAAGCTTACCTTTCAGTATGGGTCATTGCAGTCAATGACAATCATTATCTGATGCCATTGGTCAATTTAGCATCATTTTTGTCAGACAGAAAGGAATGTCTAGATTAATCAATCTAATGGAGTGTAGTACTACATCAGTTTGGGCAAAGTGAAGCTTTTTTATAAATCTCTTGCCTTAATGACTTCTGATTTAGCCAAAGGACCTATAGTTTAGCTGTAGATGTTCTTTTTCTTTTGTCTCATTGGAAATCAAAGCACATCTTTATATTTTTATATTTAAGGAAAACTGTGAATAACATGTTCAACAAAAGTGGTCAGCTCTGCCCAAATATAACATGCATCTTGCTGACTTGTTTTTTTTTTTTTTCTTCTAAAGGCTTTTGGTCAGTGATGGAATATTTAGGAGGATAACTTGAACTTGATGTTTTACTTCACTCAAGTTGATACCCTTAATTGATGGACTGTCAACCTTTAGTCTGTTTTTACCTCATCTGACCCAAAGGGTCGTGGGAGCTATTACCATCACTGTGTTCGTTGTCTTAAAATTTTACCATTCAGGAGTTATGGTTCTTTTTATAGCCAATTATACGGTATTGGTTTTTCTCATTGTTGAAGGTCATACCGTTGCCTATGATTGCTTACATCCACTTCATTTGAAATTTTGTGGATAGTTGTCTCATTGGCAATCATACCACATCTCCTTTATTTTATACAAAAAGTCAAACAAGCCTGATAGTGCCTTCAAATAAGATCTACAAATAAAATTGGAATCGGTATGACCCAAATCAGCAATTGATCCCTTATAGGGGTTATTCCCCTTGAAAGATGATTTTTGTCCTATTTGAAGTTTTATTTTAGAAACTGTGATAGATACAGAGAAACTATAAACAGTTAACATGTTCAGTATAGTAAGATCTACACAAATATGTCAAATAGCCAAAATTATCAATTGCCTGTTTACAGGAGTTACTGCTTTTGAAAGACATTTTACTAATTTTGATGTTTTTTTGGTAGAAACAGAGATAGATAGAGAAAACCTTTGAGAGGCAAAAATTTTCAGCAAAATATGATCTACAAATAAATTAACATGGTTAAAGTCATCAATAGACCTTGAAAATGAGTATTGCCTTACAAAACAATTTTTACCCATTTTGGAGGGTTTTTTTTTTTGCAGATAGAGATAAACTTTAAATAGCAAAACATAAGACCAGTTGACCCCTTATGGGACCATGGAAGACAATTTTTAGCCAAATTTGAGCTTCATGCAGAGCAAAAATGTTCAAATAAGTAAGATCTACAAATAAGTCAGCAAGGAAGAAATCAATTTATCCCTTATAGAAGTTTTGCTTTTGAAAGATGGTTTTTACCCATTTTTAGCTCACCTGGCCCAAAGGGCCAAGTGATCTTTTTTCATCACTTGGCGTCCGTCGTCCGTAAACTTTTACAAAAATCTTCTCCTCTGAAACTACTGGGCCAAATTTGACCAAACTTGGCCACAATCATCATTGGGGTATCTAGTTTAAAAAATGTGTCCGGTGACCCGGCCAACCAACCAAGATGGCTGCCATGGCTAAAAATAGAACATAGGGGTAAAATGTAGATTTTTTCTTATATCTCTGAAACCAAAGCATTTAGAGCAAATCTGACAATGGGGTAAAATTGTTTATCAGGTCAAGATCTATCTGCCCTGAAATTTTCAGATGAATCGGACAACCCGTTGTTGGGTTGCTGCCCCTGAATTGGTAATTTTAAGGAAATTTTGCCGTTTTTGGTTATTATCTTGAATATTATTATAGATAGAGATAAACTGTAAACAGCAATAATGTACAGCAAAGTAAGATCTACAGATAAGTCAACTTGACCAAAATGGTCAGTTGACCCCTTAAGGAGTTATTGCCCTTTATAGTCAATTTTTAACCATTTTTCGTAAATTTTTGTAATCTTTTACAAAAATCTTCTCCTCTGAAACTACTAATACAAATTTAACCAAACTTGTCCACAATCATCATTAGGGTATCTATTTTAAAAAATGTGTCCGATGACCCCGCCCGCGAACCAAGATGGCCGACATGGCTAAAAAATAGTACATAGGGTAAAATGCATTTTTTGGCTCATATCTCTGAAACCAAAACATTTAGAGCAAATCTGACAAGGATAAAATTGTTCATTAGGTCAAGATCTATCTGCCCTGAAATTTTCAGACCAATCAGGCAACACGTTGTTGGGTTGCTGCCCCTGAATTGGTAATTTTAAGAAAATTTTGCAGCTTTTGGTTATTATCTTGAATATTATTATAGATAGAGATAAACTGTAAACAGCAATAATGTACAGCAAAGTAAGATCTACAAATAAATCAACATCACCAAAATTGTCAATTGACCCCTTAAGGAGTTATTGCCCTTTATAGTCAATTTTTAACAATTTTCATAAATTTTGTAAATTTTTGTAAATTTTTACAAAAAAATTTCCACTGTAACTACTGGGCCAAGTTCATTATAGATAGAGATAATTGTAAGCAGCAAGAATGTTCAGTAAAGTAAGATCTACAAACACATCACCATCACCAAAACACAATTTTGTCATGAATCCATCTGTGTCCTTTGTTTAATATGCACATAGACCAAGGTGAGCGACACAGGCTCTTTAGAGCCTCTAGTTTTTAGATAGGAAAGAAAATGTTCAGCAAAAATATAATCTACATAAAGGCCAACATGACCTACATCATTGGATGACTGCTGAAGTAGTTATTGCCCTTTAATTGAAATTATCCTACTTATTTTATTTTTTTGCCAATTAAATCAAAAACAGTAATAGATTGAGTTAACTTTAAACAACAAAAATTATCCTTGATGCAAGATCTTCAATAAAACAATTGAGGTGAGCAATTCAGGCTCTAAAGATCCTCTTGTTCAAAACTGGTCTGTTCAATTTAAATTCTAGAAGTTATTTAAAAAAAAGAAATTGTTATTGAAAACAAAATTACTCAGACCAAACTGAGTTAAATGTGAAACAGTCTGTTTGAATTGGGCAATTGGATTTCTGCATTTTATTTTAAATAGCTCTTCTTTATATTTCATTTGAACTGAATTTTTCAAAGAAAGTATGATATAGGTAAAATTAATTTTATGATAAAGCCTTTTTTGAACATCTTATATCTGACACATCATAATATGATCAACAAGATATGATAATAAAGTTATCACTATACTTATCCAGACCCATTGATTTCACTGTAAAATTAGGTCTAACGTTACCTGTAGTCTCATTAGCTTAAAGGTGTAGAGATAATAAAATAAATTCTAATCATGCTGCCCCATATTGATTTTAAAAGTTATGCTTTTTGTAAACATCCGTCCTGTGAGACCGCGACAACTTTAGCCGGATTATGCACTCAAAATTTTGGTAACAACTTCAGTTTCAAAAAGTTTGGAAATTAAACTGTTTGTGAATAGGAGGCAATTGTCAGTTACATCTGAACCAAAGTTAAAAAAGGTAACGTAGAATCATATTTTTGTTTTTTATTAGGTTTTTTTTTTGTATTAAAAAAGTCTTTTTTTTTCCTTTTTTTTTTTATCTTTTGGTTTTGATCTCAATGATTTTACTCATGAATAAAATGAAAGGTGTGGTTTGTATATATATATATATAAAAACTTCTGCAAATTGATATTGAACTTTCTTTTTTCAAATACCAATACTATCATTTCCGTTATTTGAGAGACCTTTTTTTTATTGATAATTTTTAAATCTGAGATTATTGGACTTTGTGTTATGTTACACAATACAGAACTTAGTATGTTACAACAAATGGCTACAATGTTTAAAGTAATATTTATCCTTTCTTTCACACGATGATAGCCCAGATAATGTCTTCCATTCAACAAATCTGTTTACCTGTTAAACGCTCCATTGATCTAGATTGAGATATAAAGAATACCATGATAGAAAAGTGAAAGTTGTTTTTTTAAAGTTATGACAGTGTGAAAACACAACAATTGAACCATCAACAATGAGCATTGAAAAACTGAAACATTAAGCATTCACAGTTCAATATCTATCAAAGACCGTGAGTATGAATTGCCATTTAAGACTTCCAATCGATTTACAGATAAACCGATTGTAAACCTGTTTGAGAGATCAGTAAAAAAAATTTAAAAAGCATGTGAATAGGGTTTTGTCAATATGAGATTTATCGCTTGCTTGATGGACATTTTTATAGCAGATTCCAGTCTTAAAGTTAAAATATTTTAATTTTCAAAACAGAAATTTAAAGGAGATCATTGATATTTTGACCTTGCCATAAGACAATAATTATGAAAGGCTTTGATGTAACTGATTTTACTTTTTAAGTGTCAGATGGAAAATGAATTTACCATCAATATTTTATGTTGATTCAGTGATTTTTTTATTAGGACTTTTATAATTTTCATAAAGTTATCAAATGATAGATTGAAGTCATTTCAAGTTAATTACATATGAAGGAACTTTGTTATTTCAATTAAAGTGCATTATATAGGTGAAGTTTTGATATTGGATTGAGTTATTTTTAGAATTAATGAAGTGGTTGCCTGATTTAATTGAAATAATTTTGTATGTACATGTATTAATACAATTTTAATTTGTTTGTAGTAATTTAAAATCAGACTGAGCGGGAGACATTTTATTCTGCTATTACAACATATTTCCAATTCTACTTTACATAAAAGAGTATTTACAGCTTTTACAAAATTCACAAGTTTTAGTAAAAACATTTTTAAATTGATAATATTTAGTTCTAATTAACCATGTGCAAATAGGGAAGATAAAATTTTAATGTATGAGTTTCCTTTCAATCTTAATACCCTATTAAGGCCTATTAGATAACGCTTATAAAATGTCTAAGTCTTTCTATATGCAAGTTTATTGGGGGAAAACACATTGGTATTCAAAGCTAGTATTTGACGATTAAAATAACTTGTGTTCCTTCCAAACAAAGATATTAACATAAATTGAAAAAGCAGTGAAGATACTTTTGAGAAAGAGATTATAATTGTGCCCCATCACTGATTTCGGTTCTCTTTAATTTCGTCCTATTATGGATTTAAATTAACACACTAGTCATAAACGAAGTGAATTTTAATGGGCTTTTTCTTTATCTAAATTGTTACATAGTGGGCAAGAATGTTTAGCTAGTTTCACCTGCCTGAATTTGGACAATGTGATAAAATTAAAGTTAATCATGAGATGTTGAGAGTTTTTAATCAACTTGACAGCCATTATCTATGTTTAAACAGTTAAAAATTCCTCAGTATCAACCAAAAATGATGATAATGTTGTCTCAAGCATGAAGAGATAGAGCCAGATGGAGGTCATAGTGGCTAATTTGACACAGATTTTTTTCATTTCTGCCAGATTTAATCATCATCTCTGTTTATCTCCATTTACGGAAGAAAAAATAATAATGACTGAAACAGTAGGTGAAAAGACATTGAAGAGATGAGGAACACTTCTTACTTTACAGCAGTATCAGATTACATCTTATCAAATTATACTTGTATTCATTTGACATTTTAATGAAAGGAAATAAAAAAAATTGAAAATGTAATGTTTTAAAATGCTTTAAACAGACATTTTTTTGTTGACTTTTTGAAACTGCAAAGCATGTGAGACCATCAATTAAAAAACTTTAAAAACTGATGAATATTGTAATTGAAGGGTTTCTTTTTTTCCAGATTTTATAAACCAGAAGTGGTCCGTATAGTACCTCCTCCTTTTTTAACCAGAAAGAAATATATAGAAGATAGGTTGAGAGAGAAAAACCTTTTTCTCCTTTTAACAATATATTTGTACATTTAACCGTGAAATTCACCTATGATCAAATTAATAAATGAATAGACCATAACAAGTAACTGTAGGCTATCTTTAATTCATCATTTCCTTCAAAAGTGTTAGAAGTCGTTAGAATATTTCATATACTTCCTCATTAACTTCTGTTACAACTTCTTGCCGGTGGTTGAGGAAGTCCGTAATTTAGACACTTGTATTAATCTAAGAACTTCATTTGCTTTCTCTGTCTCTCAATTTCGTCTTGTTTGTAATGTACAAGTTAATTAAATTTATTGAATATGAAAGGTTGATTTCAGTAGATCACGCCATCACATGCAGTAATTAATCTGTGCCTTTTATCTGAGAGTGACATCTGGTGGTCAGTTCTGTTGTATTTGACATTACCCTTTTCATTCAGTATTGATCAGACTGTCTAACTCGGTATAATAGAATTTGCTAATTGTTTTATGTGGAATTTGGCATAAAAGGTCTGTAAGTCTTATCATTAAGCAAAAATTCCAATACATTTTATAAGATTGGATGTGTGGATTATTTCTATACAAGTTAAAAGTGTCTGCTTTTGTCACTGTCTTATCATAATTGTTCTAGCTGTTTTTGCTGACAAATGTTTCATATGGTTTGGTGATTAATTAACCAAATCTTTTACATCTGCCACACAATTTAAGGCATTATTGTAAGATGTGGGACTTTTGCCTGAATTGATTCAACCTAACAAGGGCAGTGACGTTCATAAGAAAAGTAGAGTTATAGTGTTCTTTCGAATGTCAAAACAAATATTATTTCCCCAAGTACAAAATGGTCAAGTCCTAACAAAGATTTTTGTTTTTTCTGTGAGTGAACAAAGTAAAAGTGCATATCATATAATCTTTAAGTATAATAAAGTTAATGCATCTGAATAACCAAGATAAAAAAAAACTGGATGAATCAGATTTTTAAACTTTGTCACATTGAAATAGATATTACAGAAAAATATTTGTTATTAACAAAAGGGGTGTGATTTATATGTTAATGAATTGAATTAATTAGAAAATTAAGAATTTGAACCAGAGAAAAAAATTACAATTATTCATCAGTAAAGTGACACGAAAGAAATGGGAAAGGAGGAATATTAGAAAAGAAAAAACCTGAAACTTGATCTTTTATATGTTTAATTTGATCAGCATATCTTTAGAAGTTTGGTGAATAATTAAAAACTTTAATTTGGGGTGTTTATATAGTAATAAAATGTTAATGGCATATTCTTAAGAGGGAAGTTTTCTAACAGAGATATATAATACCTGTACCTACCTGGTATGGGTACATGAAAATTTAAAACACAAGGGTAATTAAGTATGACAAATAATATCAACCTTTATAAAATTTACTTTCCCAAATTGAAAATGTGTCAGCACATGAAATTTTATCTGTTTTTCACCTGGCCAAGTCTTTAATCATGTATTTACATGGCCTGTTATCAGATAGAACAATTTAATTGCCCTTCTTAATAATCCCCGTCATCCCCATAAATTATCACATTTATTATCTTGGGTTTTAATTTGGGGTTTTGTTTGGAAGAACAAGGGTTTAATTTTATCTATTTTTAGTGCTGTCACTTGGTGACTTGAAGGTTAATTGGTTGTTATGTACATAATTTTGTGTACATTGTCTTCCATTAATCCTATTTATGATAAGCTTTGAAAGAGACTTGAAAATTTTAATTATAATTAGTATAAATATTGAAGGGGTGACATATGGGAAAATACTTTCAGATTAAGGCACTGCGATAGTAGATTTTCCATTGAAAAGGTTGTTTTATACATATTTACGAACATGGCACTTTAAATTTTGAGAAGGTGGGATTCTCTGGTTTTACCTCAAACTGTATGAGAATTCACAATTTTTGAATTGAATTCAAAATAAAATGGTTAAAGATATCACAAAGATATTTTTACCCAAATCTAACATGATCAGGAGATTTGCAAAACTAAAAAAAAAATTTAGCGATTCAACAAAACATAAGTTGATTTTTAAATCTGTATTTCATAGCATGGTAAAACCCGAGGATTTGTCCCAGCTTCAACTCTGTTATTAAAATAGATAAACACAATGGAATCATCTGATTGGTCGATGTTTAGCTGTGATGTTAGCATGAAATTATGTATAATGTAATAACTTTATTTAACAAAAGTTATTTAATTTGACTAGAATTATTCAAAATTTGAGGTATTGACATTTCTATGCAGTGATCACTTCAGTATGTCATGATTCAGTGTTCACTGATATTACAACATTAGAAATTAGCGGTATACTAATGTCTACATTAAGTTAGTGACTATGTTGCATGCATCTATCCCATTGAACTTAAAATAAAGGTTACAACAGATAAGATAAATATGCCTCATATCTTGACTTACATCCGAAATTGACAATAATGGTAGGTTGAAAACCAAACTTTATGACAAAAGAGATGATTTCAGCTTCCCAATTGTGAACTTTTCATTTCTATGTAGCAATATTCCAGCAGCTTGCATATGAAGTATATATCTCCCAGTTGAAACAATATTCCAGATTATACTGATGTTACAACACATATATATTGATGTCACAGCAAGTCAAGGTATACTTATGTTACAACACATTTATATTGATGTCTACATGTCAATACATACTGATGTTACAACATATTTATT